TTTAAGAGCTCTTTTTTTAACACAAGCTTTTTTAGCCTTTCTTCTGTGACGTTTTTGCACATTCCCCAGTCAAGTTGCTTGGATATAAATAGATATGTTCCCTCTAGTGGTTTCGACGTCATAATATTCCATTTTTTGTGAAATTTATTTCAACATAAGCGTTTATTCTGATTAATTCTAGGTTCTTGGAATACGGAAAAGGGTAGTATATCTTCAGATTGCACTAGTCGACGGCCGAATATCTCCCTTCATCACTGGTAGAAGTGACGCTTCATTAATATTTAGGCAGTTGTAAAAAAATGGTTTTCCTTAGCTATTCTGCTTTGAGCTTTCGCAGCCCATTCCACTCATTGTGAAAAGGAAACGCATTTTGGGCATTTTCAATCTCATTATACTCCTTTCTACTAGCTTGCTGTTTTAACGCTGCTCAGTCACCTACCTTATTTATTTGCAGGCTCTTGCAATCTTGCCTTAGTGTTGGGTCGAATAAGGCGAATGTGGCCTCATAAGCGATATTGTGTCCTTGTTACAATCCGACGTCGTTTTTCCGACCTTTCTGTTGATTCAGTCCCTTCTGCATGGTAATCATCCAGCCTCCTTAAACGCTCGCCTCTTTTATGGTACCCATAGAAGCGATATTCGTGTGAATGATTTCATCCGTTTTTCATCTATGAAGTCAGTTATTTCTTCTGGGAGTTAGACACTTACCTGACCATGTTTCATACTGCTTTTATTTCGTTGCTGTCCTGTTTCGGTTGTTTTCTTTTTTAACTACTTGAGAGGTCAGTATAAGTGTTACCAGCAGTAATTTGTTTTCCACACAGTAACTAACCACTTCTATTTTAATGCTGCGCTGAATGTTAAATGCTTGAGAAATCAGTCTAAGTATGCTAGTAGTTGCAGTAGTGGTAGCTTCCGTCACAGCCTAGAGGACTTGATTACAGGCCTAGCGCCATCGACCAACGACCAGTGCCAGTGAGACGGCCACTTCGCACGGCCAATCAGCCTCACTGACGAAATCCGTGGTTGCTGGCTTCGTACGTCCCAAAGTGGATTGGCCACCTCTTTGCATGGATTTTATATCCTTCTCTTGGACAAAAAATGGCACTTAAGTCAATTTGGAAAAAAAGCTCTTGAAATGCATATAAAGTTTTTTTTCCTATTTCTCAAGTTATCACGGATAAGGTGTGAAACAAAGCTCTTTTTCTTTTAATGAAAAATATCTTGAGCAGGCTTTTATGCTCTTCACTTTTCCACTGTGACAGCTACAATGGATACGTCTGTAGAAAATGAAGCATCTATAAGCTTTATTTAGGTTTCACCTATTCATTTTATGCCTGTCTGAAACTTGGTTCGTCCGTTAATTGGAGGACGGTCGTGTCTCTTTAATGCAACGGTTTAGTTACTACAGTGGGTTGTCAAGGCCAGCAGTGGAAGAATTGCTCAGACAAGGAGAAGGTGGATAGAGATCTTTTTCCTGCTTCTACAAGACCTTGCTCCCTGTTATAGAAAGACGACAAGACGTTCTCACACTCATATTGCTCTTGGTTTTCTTGATTTGAATTCCTTGAAATGTTATGCTTTAAGCATTTTTGAAGGGGTTCATTACTACATACCTACCCACGTTGCCAAGAGTCCATTAATATCGGAAATACATGAAGTTGCGTCTGGCATGAGCAAAGACTCTGAACGTTCTAAACTTGTTTTAAAAGTTGTACCATTGAATGGTCTGGGTGTGAATCGTCAACGCTATCTGCGTCACGCATTGTTTGAAAACAAACAATTATTTATGTCTCCTGAAATGGCCTAGCTCTATACCATTGGTTATTAGTGATCACTGATAACATCTGTGTATAGACTTTACTAAAACAGAAGTGACGTTCTTTCTGCCCATAGCTATCGCATTTCATCTTTGTGTGATGTTGCGCCAACAATTAGAGTGGAATTTGACCGATGGTTTTTGAAAAAAAAGCATTTTTCTGATTCCACCACCACTTTGTCCTCCATTCAAAACCAGCTTTCAATTTTGTTTTCTAATTCAAATACTAATTACAGTTTTTTTTTTAATTCTGATTAAGGTAACCTCATTTACAGCTCTACTTCCCATCTCATTATAATTGTGAACGAAATCATCCCACGTATAACATTATGATGGTGAAAATGCCGACATATATTATCAAACCTCAAAATCTCTGCTCGCAAAAATAATATTCACCTTCAAATATCGCCACAGATCGATAGTCTTCATGCCATTCTTGTATTCTAGACAAGCGTCAACGCTTCACTGAGACCTTCAGTTCAGAACTACTTTGTGTGTGCAGATTGGGGTGTGACAAGCCAACGAAGCGCGTCCTCATCTCAGCCTTCTTCGAGCAGCTCTACAGAACATGTCGCGGCATTAGAAGCCTTTATTCTTCTTCCTTCACCTCGTCCACTACGTCAAACCAGTGAGAATGTCTTCTACCTTGGAACGGATCCACTTGAGTCAGCTTCAAGTGTTGAAAAGATCGTGATGGAGGAAGCGAATAATGATTTGGGTCTTTGTCTCGAAATGGACGTCCGTCTTTCCTCTGAACACATTGATGGCTCTTCCAAACTCACTGTTAAGTTCCGTTCCATGGTCCAGACGATTGAGGCATCTCTAACACCTATTCTTCCTCCCTCTTCCCCTCCTCAACCAGTCTCAACTCCCATACCATCAGTAGAACGAAAGATCGCTTTCCTCAGCAGTCTGGCAAGTTGGATTCTCTGGAGACCTTCGAGTACTTCCGCCCAACAACGCCAACTGCGTCATATTACTCCTCCACTGAATCGGTGGTTGCATCTTACCCTCCCACTTGACACTCAACTCCTTCCCGAGTCACCTCTACACTTCGCTCTCTACGGCCACGCCGGTGTATGTATAGACAGTCTACGTGTCACTCGGTGCCTCGCCTCAACAATCTCCAGTCTTTCCTGGCCACCAAATAACACCCTGAATCTGGCCCGACCCACACCACCGGTTGTACTGCTTACTCCGTCCAATGGCGACTCGGCCACTTCCTTCCCTGCAACCTCCAATCCTCTCCTCACTGGGGCTTTCTTTTTTGCTTGTCTACTGGTTATCCTGATTGCTCTGTTAATTGTTATCTTTGTGGCGTCTGTTGCCTGTGGACGGAGGAAAAGAATCAGGAAGGGGGGAAGAGGAGTAGCTGGAGGTGGAGAGAAAAAAGGTAATGAAGGACCTGTGACCCTGACTGGAGTAGAGCTCCTGCGTTCCCCCTCAATCTCCTCACTTCCAGGTGCAGCGGTGCACCAGCGACCGATTGAGGAGATTTTGCATTATGTTGACGAGGTAAAAGTTGCTAATGTTATTGAAAAATTGTAAGGCTTTAGTCGGAAAGCAGGTTGATTATCAATGCATAGGAATACTGATGGACTAGCTGCCACCTTAAGGAATCAACTCGCAAAATGCTGAGCCGGTTTTTGTAGTTTTAAACACTTTATTCTGTAGCGTAGTGTCTTTTTTTCAAGCACCATCTTCGGTGCTTTCTGGGACAATTTTCCTGTTTCAACTTCTAATTCTCCATCCCATCGGAAGGACTTCGAAACGCTTAAGCCTGTGCGATGTTCTGAAACGATTACATTTCGTATAGGAACATTGGCTTTGTAGTTGAACGCACTTAAATGGCGGCACCATATGTAACAGTTTATAAGCATTCAACTAGGTCTTATTCGTCCCTTGCTTTTAGTCCATCTACCTGGACATTTTCATATTTTTATTATTAGAGGCTTTAATTCTCTAGATATGACTGACTCCTCATTTGGTTTCTTTATAAGAAAAGTTCAAGCATTTATTTCGTAGGTGGTTTTAACATTTCGTCGAGCTTGAGATAAGAGTAACCAGTTGCACAACGTGGTTTTCAGTTTCTGTTGCGCCTATAGGCTCACGCGTTCGCAGATGTTTTCCATCAACAAAATTTTTCGTTTTTGCAACTCTCCCTGTCAACTTAGATGCCAATATTCTATGAGCCATTAGGAACCTTTGCGTATCCCATTAAGTCGCCATCAGTACAGCTATTAGGTGACTTCTGAATAATTTATGCAGTATATGAGTCTGGAGGTAGCTAACGGTAGATACCTGGTGAGTGATAAAACCGTGTACAGTCCGGCTTGTTCCAAACGCAGACTTATTGGCTAGAAGCCCTATTTTTTAATTACTAATTTCCAGCATTTAGACCCTACTTTTCTCCCTTTAACACTCCAGGACTCAGTGGAGAAAGTGGATGACATAGACATGGAGGATGAACATCATAATTCCTCAGGTCAAGGATCTCTAGACGCCCGACGCCTTCGGTTGAAACGGCCACAGCGGCGACCACCCCGACGCACCCAGAGTGTGGACAGCCGTCTGCAGATTGGCCACCGCCTCCCGCCCTACGAGGCACCGAAGCAGCGGCACATCAAACGCGTCAAGAAGCAGTCATCATCACAACAGCAGTCACAGCATCGACGCGGCCGTGGCTGGCGATCGATGGACGCGGAACCGACAGTAGAGGTAGCTCCTCAAAATTCCGGTCAAAGACTCTCACTTCTCCTCGCAATCAATGAGGATAACGAGCTAGTTCTTGTCACTCCGGGATCCACAAACGCATCTGCTGTAAGCTCCCGACTATACTTTAAAATACCTTTCCATGGGAAAAGGAGGTTCAAACTACTCCCCTTGCTCGTGTTTTGTCGTTGAATCATGTGAATCCTTTGCCCTACCAAGTAAACAGTCCTTGTAATTGAGTAATAAACCTGTCATCCTGGGATGACAATGATAGCACACGGCAAAACGGAGGTAGAAACATTAAAAGCAAATTTTTTCCCAGGGGCAAAATCAGTCTCCTTTGGCATGTGTACTCAGTCTGAAGTTAGGCTCCTCTATCATAAAAGTTTCTATGAGTGAAGAGTGCGGAACATTTCGGGCATCCAGTTACGACTGCCACCACATGGTAGAGAGAATACATACTCCGTAACCAGAGACCAGGTTGTAAGAAAACTAGATATGTGTGATATGTGTGTGCCCCTGGTCTGATTTATGGTAAGCTTAATCTAGAAGTGAATAATTGGCAATTCCTATAATCTTGGTTTAAATACCTTTGTCTACTGCCTTTAGCACGTCGTTAAGACGGTTACCAGCATGCGTGAACTCTTTCATAAAGGTTTTTGAGCATTGTATAGCCGAAATGAATAGACCACCTGCAAAATACATGTAACTGCTTTAGAAGTCGTATAGGGGCGGTAGTTGAGGCCACTGAGAGTTC